CCCAGATGTGGATTTAAAACCTAATGTTACTAATCTCAGGCTGTATTAAATCCGGAAAAGTCCTAGTGACCCCCCCATTTCCTGTTCCCCTCCCTCTTTAAGGCTCCCTAACAGGTGATCAGCCTCTCACCCCCGCCAGGACACGCCCTGATCCTCGGAGGCCCACGCTACCCCGCCCCCCATGTCCCCCTCCCCTCCTCACTTTTAGAGTCTCGTTTTCCTCGCGAAGCTTCTCCATCTCCTCCTGCATTTCTTCCTGCTCCTGGAGCTGCTGCGGGTGCGGCTGCGACGAAGGGGGTGCCGCAGCCTGCATGCCCCCGCTGCTCGCGCTGCCCTCTGCGCTCTGCTGGGGACCCTCCGCAGCCGCCGCCATTGGGGAGGCGGAAGGGACTGCAAGAGGCTCGAAAATGGCAGAGGCGCCAGAGACCGGGGAGTTGCGGCTGCTGGAGCCGCCGCCGTTCTTAGTGTGCATCTGAGCCGCGGCTGCTGCCGCTGCCGCCCGCTCCTTCTTGAGATGGAATTGAATGAGCTCAGACTGCAGACATCCTTCCTTCCAGTAGCTCCCTCCGCCACCGCTGCCGCCCCCCACAACACCGCTTCCGGAGTTTCTGCTGCCAGGGCCTGGGGTTTTGCCCGCAGAGAAGGCGGATGGCGACGTGGAGGCCCCCTCCCCGCCGCTGCCGCCCCTGTGCTGTGAGCGTACGCCTTTCCCTCGCCAGCCCCTGGGCGGCGGCGGCTGCGGAGCGCCCCCCTCCCTTTCCCCGGAGCCGCCGCCGGCTCCTCCTCCTTCCCCTTCCCCTCCCCCTCCTTCTCCGAGCGGAGGGCTTTCCCCCAGTTTAGAGGACACGGCCTCTGGCTCCTGGGGCGGCTCCTCGGGCGGGCCGGGCCTCCTGCCGCCCACCGGGGCCAGGGTCGCCGCGGGGGCTGCTTCAGCACCAGGCACGGGCTGGACAGTTCCCGGCACGGCCCCTTTGGGAGCCAGGGGCACCGCCTTCTCCGCCCCGCCTCCGCTTCCTCTGGCGTTGGCAGGAGGCGCCGCGCGGCCCCCGGTCTTGTTGCTCTGCTGCTGCTGCAATTGCTGCTGCCGCAAAGAATTGAGTTTAGTGCCTGCCCCCACCGGGGATCGGGTAGCCGCGGTTGTCTGTCGGACCGAATTGTCCCTCAGTCTAGCGGGTGACTGAGCACGCTGCTGCTTTCTGCTGCTGCCCTCCGGGTGCAGGCGAGCCTCTGTGACACCGGCGGCGGCAGAAGCTGCGGCTGTGGCAGGGGCAGCGCCCCCCGTCGGTGGCTGGCTCATGGCTGTCTAGGAAGAATCTACCGGATGCGAGTTATAGAATGGTCCATCATCATCAGATCATTCTCTTCTCTCCTCACCGCCACCAAATTTCCTTTCTAATCTGGGACAGAAACAAAAGAAGGAAAGCACACAGCATGTACGCGTTGTTAGAGCAAATGGTGTTTTTCCTGTGCAAGAAAAGCCCTAGAAAATGATGAGATTTGGAAGGAGCTTAACAGAAGCTTTGACTTTAAGAGTAAGGTGCAGAAATGTCAATTCTCGTTTTGCCCAGGGAGGCGCTATTTCCATTTCACTCCACCTCAGTAAAAGACGACCATCTGCAAGCAGCTGAACCTAACATTCTCAAGGTAACAGGTTTTGGCAAGAGTGAGACATGGAGTCAGAAAAGAATTGATGGGAAAGGGGATTAAAAAAAAAAAGGAGGATAAGGTCAAGAAGAAGATTCAGAGAAAAAGGAGATGTCCACATGCTAGAGCTGTCAATACCTTGACTTTTCAACTTCGGTTTTCTTCACCTCAAATCTGCATTTTAAAGCCTAGTTTAGTAGAGAAAGTTTTATGTAATTAATGTTCCCAAATGTCAATTACAGAAAAAGGGTAATGGAGGTTCCTGAAGAAAAGTTGCTGTGGATAAATGGCGCTTTTCTCAAACAGTTCTAACCCTTAGTGTTGACCTCGGTTGGGTAAATGCATCCAATTTCCTTTAGACTATGACTAAGAGAAAACATAAATAATGAATGACTTTAAATCAACTTCGATTTCACAAAAATAATGGCATTGGGAATCATCTATATACTTAAGTCATTAGTAAGTCTAAAGGGATTTTTTTTTAGCTTTGGGAAATAATTTTAAAAATACTTTTGCGAAAGTTTATTGGCAGCTCTGCACAATTTCTTAATTTACTGGTGATGCCTTTTTCTACACTTATCCGAATTTCATAGTTCTTGTGAATCATTTTAGTTTTAAGTGTAATTGATAGAAAATATTTTAATTCTTAAGCATCTTCTTAGATGGTATATCACTGGCAAAGTTGTATTTTTAAAGGGCCCAGTCCTTTCTATGCTGCCAAATTCCGAGACAGAATGAACCTGCACCCCAGAAAGCTAGTGCATTCTCACTCATGGTGAAAAGATTAACTTCTATTATGTATTTTTTCAAAGATAAATCCATCACTGGTATTTAAAATCTGGAAAATAGCAAGCCATTGTCTCCTGGGTTTTTCTCCCTAGTGATCAGCTAGCTAGTCAGCTAGTCAATTAGGTGCCTTTTCCTTAAAACTATAATTTCTCTCTACAGCACTGAGAAGGGCATGACTAGACAGAAAGTTCTGCTTTAGAAAAAAAAACAAAAAAACTCCCTCCCTTTAGAAAGGAGATACTTGCCAGTTACTTTACTAGCATTATCCATTGTCTATTTTAAATATAACTTACTCAACATGCAGTAATTCCCATTTTGTAAAGAAATATTACTGAACAGCTCCTTCTCCACCTCCCTTTCTCTTCCTGGGATCTCCTTCCAACTCATTTTGGAAAATAATAGTGAACAAAGAAGACATGGGGGGCGGGGGAGGGGGGAAGGAGTTGTCCATCAACTTATTTTCTAGGTGTTTTCCCGGAGCCACCTACTCCTAGAATGTCTGGCCTAGTTCATCCTTGTGGACCACCCAAACAAGTTATATTGCCAATGCAACCTTATTTTAGTTTTGAAATAGGTAGAATCACTCCGAAGCGGAGAGTCACTAGAGAACGCTTCAACTCAGCCCCTAGACACCTGCAACCTAGGAGAAAGCTCAGGTTACCCAAACTCAGCTTCCACAATCAAAGGTACCTGGTCGCTGTCACGTTATTTCTCCCAGTGACACGATGCTGTGTCTCTTCAAGGCTTTCCTCGTGGAAATCGCCAACTAAGCAACCCCAGAACGGCCCAAAGCAAGACTTTTCATCTCAATTTTAATCTGCCTAGTGATCCACTCCATCTCTCATCCCCATCCCTCTAGAAATCCAGAGCTGCTCTCACTTCTCAGCAGAGGCGATGTTTCGAAGTTGATGCAAATCAACAGCGCTTTCCTTCCGATCTTCCTTCGACCTCAGGGTTTATTGTGTCTTTCACAGACGAGGAAAGTTTAACTTCGTTAGTATGATATGCGACCTGCGGGCTGAGCACGACTTGGGGCTCCCTCGCCCAAGTTCCACAACCCCTGGATTTCTCCAAACAAAGGCGTTAACGTGCAGACTCAGCGGCCCCCAGAGCGGCGGTCCGCGGCTCAGCTGGAGCTGCGGCTCGGAGCAGGCGAACACCGGAGGTACCACGCCGTGCCAGACGCTCCCCAGGAAGTGCACTGATATTCATGAGCTGACCTCACCGGACTGGGCAGGGGAGGGGGCGGGATTGCAAGGGAGGACAGAGTAGATCTAACCAAAGAGAGGCTACTTTCAAGAGGAAAGAGAATAAGGCGGAGACGGGGTGAGGGTGGTGGTGGCAAGAAGACAAAAAAGGCCAAAGCCACGCCCGAGATGGAAGATGGGTAGCCACGCTCAAAGTCCTTGCTGCACTCCCATATTCCGTACTTGGCAGAAGATTCCAAAACCGCTCGAAATCGGATGCACTGGTTTTCTGCAAAGCTTTGTCCTGGGCTCGATCAATCTCCATCAATTATTTACTTGAGTTCTTTTCTCAGAGAGACGAATGCGAACAGCCTTCCGGGATTGACTGACGTCTCCAGATGCAGCTGCAAGGCGCTGACGGGCGGCTGCTGGGAGTTCTCTTTGTTCACTCACTTTAATTCTCCTGTCGAGCTCTCCACGCGGAGAGAGACGTCCCCACCCCCAGTCCGGGCGGAGTCATCAGACGTCCTTTCCATGAGCAGATAATGGTTGCCAGACTCATAGTCCCACAGACAAAGGGTTCTTGTGATGCCTCGACTGATTTAGTGCAAACCGAATAAATATTAGTTTACAGAGATCGTTTACAGCCGAGTTTGCCTTCGGTACATTTCTTCTCTCTTAAGTTCTAGTTTCCATTGTGAATACAAGGAACAATTGCTAGGATCCATAATCTTTATAGCAGTGCATGTGGGTAATATGAATGTATTTATTCGATATGAGCTTAAAGGGAATTGGAAAGGACGGGGACTCACAATATATGCTTTAAGATATACACTAAACCATACTGTTCCACGGTAATAATATTTTAAAAATCTGACTGGAAAATTCTCTTACCTCCTAGTTTTGTTTTTGTTTTTGTGGGGGCGGCGCAAGCATCTCCCTCTTACCAATTCCTTAGTGAACTGGAATATGAGGATAAAACTAAACATTACTTTAGAAGGGGTATTTTTTTTAAATTAAATGCCTGTTACATTAATATTGTGGTTTTGTGTGTAAAAAGGTCAATATTTTGAAATAATAGCTTTTTATTCTAACATGAGCTTTAGCGTAAGATTTTATTTTCCAAGTGTAACACCTTGCATTAAAAATGAAATTAAAACAATTTAGAAGTAGCTTGGGTAGAAGCAATATCGTTACAGAAAAATTAAAAAGGATGTTCAAACCCTGGTGAATAGTATCTCCAGCGATATACAATATAAGACGATTATGATATCACAAGAAAATCATTCATACACTCAACTGCTTCAAAATAGAGAAGCTCTCAGTTGATGCTTGGCACTGTCCAAGGTGCTGGTTAGGCAAAGATTAAATTAAGAGATAGTCCCTGTCCTGGGAGGTTCAAACCTATTGGAAATAATTAAAATAAGGTCTGTATAATCCTTTGGATACTTTTGGAAAGTAAAATTGTGATATCTGTGAGATCTATAATTAATAGCTCAGACCTTGGCCAGCATACGAAAACTGAAGGAAAAAAAAAGGAAAGTTACATGTAATCACAATTTATTTATTATAGAATTTATAGTAGGCAATTTGTTATTATGTACCCAAATTTGAATTGTGATTTCCTTAAGAAATACCAAGATCCACAGGTCTCATTCAACCAAAATTAATAAACTGGATAAAAACATTTTTTCAGATTAATTTTTTTAAAGTAAAATATTATAAACATAGTTTAAGAACACAAAACAGTGTTCTTGCTCCTCTAAGAACTTGTAACTGTTCAGGCATCTATGTTTCAATTTTTTTACTAAGGTAGTAGTATTTATTTCAATGCAATTAATAGCTTTAAAATTCATAAAATCAAGAATTGATTATCATGAAGTCAATGTGCTTAAATGTGTCAATTTATAATTTAGTATTTTGCAATTTTAAGGTTGAAAACTAAAAAAAAATAATTACAAGTGATATTTAAGATTCATTTTTACTCAAGCAAATATGCTACAAGGAGAATTTTGGAACTGAAAATTTATCTTGTTTATTCCTTTATTTGCTAGTTAAAATTACATATCTTCTTTCATCACTATATATTTGATCCTGTTTACCTTCACCTACTATCCCCCTCCCTGGTAATTACTAAACTATTTTCTGTCTATGGGTGGTAAACTCAAAATACGATATATAAATGATGTATTACAGAATTGTACACTTGTATGTAACTTTACTAACCATTGTCACACTAATAAACTTTAATTAAAAAAAAGAAACACATAAAATTATATATCTCCAATTAGGCAAACCTCAAAGATGATTATTCAGCAATTTGTCAGAATTTAGAAAGGAATGATTTTTACTGTATTTTAGAAGTAGACAGGCCAATTGACCTTTTGTATGTAATAATAATGTTATGTAATGTTACATACATAATGTGTATGTAATAATGAGTCATCCACTCTGTAACACAGTACATACATAATGTGTATGTAATAATGAGTCATCCACTCTGTAACACAGTAAGATGTGGATCTTCAATCAAGAGTAGAAGGCTAAAGTCTCAAATACAAAGCCTTTAAGAAAAATGTAGCTTAAAACACCTACCCCTTCGTTATTACTACTAACCATATAACTGTATCTTTATCTATATAGTTTACGTTTTTCAAGGCCCTTCCGCTTTGTATGCTCAAAATACTGTGAAGTAGATATTGTCTTCTCCACTTCAAACATGGAGTAACTGTTTCAGAGATGTTAAGCAACTTATTCAAGTTAGTTTCACAATCAGAACCTGAACTTGGGTCCTCTCCCATTAAATCTGCTTTTTATATTCTTCCATGTGCCTCTTTTTCATGCCATAACTTAAAAATCTGTATCTCTAAGCCTGATTTGTGTCTTTATGCTAGTCTGATCTTTTCATTTATGCATAGACTATCTATATTTGGAGACAACACTATCACCTCAGACTCCATATGAAATTTTTCTCCTCAAACTGATTTCAATTTTGATTCTGTTTTTTCTTTTAATGAAGATAAACAATATATTCTGTGTATATTTTTCTTTTAGTACTATCATCATTTTGATATATGTGCCCACTAAACACTGGTTTCTTCATTCCTTAATCTTTTCCCTTCTATATTTTTCAAAATATTTCCTAAACTTTTCTTGTTTATCTCCTGTGCAGTCACTACCAAAATACAAAGACTCATAATTCTGTTTAGACTGCTGCACCTTCTTTCTATATTAGATGAATTCTTTCTGCCAAATCCACATTACCAACACTGCCAGTTTACACCTTTTATTAAACCAAAATTTCCTCATGTCATTCTGCTTGCAGTCACTGCATTATTTTCAAACTCTTTTATCTAGACATCAAAAAACTTCATTGTCCCCATTCTATACCAAATGTACTCCCTAATATTTCACCACACATACTCTCTGTCCTACTTCGACTTATTGCCTCTTTATCCCATAAGCATATGGGGCTCGTTCTGCTTGTATACTTTTTCTCTTGCCACTTTTTACATTTGGCGTGTCCTCCCTTCCTTCCTGTCCCAAAGCTACCCATATTCGAAGGCTCTGCTTAAGTTTCAGATCTTTCAGCCATATGAAGTTATTTAAACTTTTGAGCCTCGGGTTTTTTTTCTACTCATTTATTCATTTATCTATACATTTAACACATATTGTTGAATATTTAATAGTACTTAATATATGGGAGTGGAGTCAATGGAATTGTAATAGATATGTATNTAACACATATTGTTGAATATTTAATAGTACTTAATATATGGGAGTGGAGTCAATGGAATTGTAATAGATATGTATGATACAGGGTGAGGGGAGTGGGGTGGCAGATTGGGGGGGTTGTCACTTCGAAGGGTAAAAAGTATAACTATTGCATTGTGTTGTACACCTGAAACTAATTTTAAAAATTAAATTAAATTAAAAAATAGTATCTAATACATATGATTATTATTATAAAATGGTGAAGGTAATTCTTATCACAGTGCATGAGGCATGCACTAATCATAACACATGATAAGCGATAATTACTATGTGCCTGGCATTGTAAGCTATCAATAAATGTTAGCTATTATTGTCATTCATATTTTAGGAAGATTATTACATTAGTTTGTACCAAATTCTACCCTTCCTGAATTTCTACAGAACTTACATGTAATGTCACACTGTTAGAAACAATTGGTTAGTCTTTGATTATTTTATAATTGTTCACCCTGATGGTAAATATCTTCAAATAATATTCCTGCTTCCCTCTTTATCTCCATCAGGGAGTAGGCACACAGAGGCTGGCCAGTACGGGGCTGAATTGATTGGTAGACATTTATGACAGAGAAAAGCTGATGTTTTCAGATCCACCTTCGGTTTTTGGAAAGTAATTTCGTTTGGCTATGTGCCATTGTCTTGACCTTTACTGACATGCAGTCACAAGGCACATTTGTTCTCTGGATTACATTTTAGATAATAATTTATAAATCATAGACTCCTTGGGTTGTAAACAGCATGATTCATCTTTTTATCTCTAAGCAGGCTACCCAAGCCATATTATGCAATTGCTTTAGCCTAATTTCAGGCATCTCAATAAAGCCTATTGTACAATCTTCCAGAGTAAATATACACATGCTATAACTTAACATAATGACTGAAACTAATGATTTAGCTCATATATTGAATTAAGGCAGCTTGTGAATGACAGAAATTGCTACTCTACTATGGATGCTTTAGTTACTAATGTTTTTGCCATTGTGTAAGTTTGCAATTGGATATTGCATAGTTAAACTTCTGTTGCATTACTTAAGTAAATACTCATGAATATTCACCCTTGGCAATTCAAGCCAATGTCTAGCCACTCATTATAAGCAAACTACTGCTGTATTTTAACCCAGCACCATTTTCAATCTTATCTTAATCCTAGAGGAGATTTTTTACAACCTGGTAGTTATTAGGTAAATGCTGTACACATTTAAGATTACCATTAAATTTCCCTTAATATCACT